GGTCCACGTTTTGGTATGGCCCCATATAATGGTATATCGGGAATTTTGATAATTTTAGCCACATTATCCACCGATTTTTTATTTTCAAGTTTCGCATTTGAATACTGTAATGGTTTATGACAAAAGTTGTCTATGCATTTTATGATCTAAACAGAATTTTTAAGGGATTTTATTTTTTGAAAATTGCGAAATTCATTCCAAACGATGGAGGGCATTTAAAGTTCGGCCCGGCTGAATTTACAGTTTTTATACCCTCCACCATATTATGGAGGGTATATTAACTTTGTCATTCCGTTTGTAACTCCTCGAAATACTCATATCAGACCCAACAAAGTATATATATTCTTGATCAGCGTAAAATTCTAAGTCGATTTAGCGATGTCCGTCTGTCTGTCTGTCTGTCTGTCTGTCCGTCTGTCTGTCTGTCTGTCTGTCTGTCTGTCTGTCCGTCTGTCAGTCTGTTGTAATCACGCTATCTTTCGAATGAATTGAGATAGGTGGCTAAAATTTTGCACACATGTTTATTTTTCCAGTAGGCAGGTTAAGTTCGTAAATTGGCCATGTAGGTCCACGTTTTCATATAGCCCCCATATAACGGTACCTCCCTATATTCGGTATTTTGATGATTTTAGCGACATTATTCACGGGAATTGTTTTAAATTTGGTATTTGAAGTTCAAAATGGATACTACACCCTAAGACGGAAAATTATCCGTGCAGGTCCACGTCTTCGTATAGCCCCCATATAACGGTACCTCCCGATATTCGGTATTTTGATGATTTTAGCGACATTATTCACGGGAATTGTTTCAAATTTGGTATTTGAAGTTCAAAATGGATACTACATCCTAAGGCGGAAAATTATCCGTGCAGGTCCACGTCTTCGTATAGCCCCCATATAACGGTACCTCCCTATATTCCGTATTTTGATGATTTTAGCGACATTATTAACCGGAATTGTTTTAAAATTGGTATTTGAAGTTCGTTATGGGAACTAAAGTCTGTGACAGAAAATTGTCTGTGCTGGTCCAGGTCTTCGTATAGCCCCCATATAACGGTACCACCCTATATTCGGTATTTTGATGATTTTAGCTACATTGTTCACCGTTTATTTCAAGTTTCGAATTTGAATATGGTAATGGCTTATGACCAACAATGCCTATGCATGTCCACGTCGTATAGACCCCAAAATAACGGCTATATTCGGTATTTTTAAAATTTTAACAGAATTTTTTAAGGATTTTATTTTTTGAAAATTTCCAAATTCGTTGCAAATGGTGGAGGGTATTAAAAGTTCGGCCCGGCCGAACTTACTGCTTTTTAACTTGTTTTACTTCTTTTTATTATAATTTTAACATTTTACAATTTAGCACAATATCTATCTACAGAGCTTATAACTTAACCCAAGGTTAATTTCTGGAATTTTTTGCAGAAATATTATGCTTGTATTTTCCACCTTTGCGACTCAAAACATTTCGACTCTTTTTTTGACATTTTTCTCCCTTTCATACCCTATGGTAAATATATTCGGATTCTGACCCTAATTATTATCTTCTTTTGAAATATTTTTGCGAGGCTTTACTACTATTGAATATTTTTGCTGAAATCATTGGACTTTGACCCAAATTAAAATCCTTTTGAAAAGTTTTGCTCAAGTTTTTAGATTTCTGACCCACTTTGTTTTTGTTTTTCTTTTTTCAGATGTACTAGGTTTCTTAAATAGATTATTATTATTTTTTTCTTGCAAATTTGATCAATAATTTGTCATATTTAGAAATTTTGTTATTTGTTTTCACATCAATAATCAAAGAAAGTTATTGGCTTTTGAAAAGTAAAATCTTCCTGTCATATGATATTAAGCGATTTTTACTTACTGAAAGTCCTGCAAGTGGACTTTAAATGATATTATTTATTTTGGTTCATTTTGTCAAAAAAGTTGACCCCTTCTGGCAACCCAACAAATATTTTTAATCAAATCCATCCGGTGTTATTTAAAAATAATAATACCCAGGTGTTATTTAAAAATAACTCCTATGACAAAAACCTTTTTTTTACCCAAGTGACGAGTTCGTAAGCTCAATAGAAGTGGAACCAAAGAATTACATAAAATTAATTTCTTTTGGAAAATCTTCAAAATTTACAATCGAACTTATAAACAGTTCCATCTTTCTCCACTTGTTATGCTATCGTTTTAAGTGAACGAAGGAGCATAACCATCTAAGTTGGTTTTGTCTGTTACAACGAAAACCTCTTCGTCGACCGTGCCTTTTCTATTAATAGAACAGTGTTGGCTATGACAAAAAAATGTTTTTATCCAAGTGACGAGATCGTATACTCAATGGAAGAGGAACCAAAGATTTACATAAAACTAAAATTATTTTGGAAAATCTTCTAAATCATACATCCGCACATATAAAATTTCTATCTTTCTCCACTTGTTAGCTTTCATTTTACATGAACGAAGTAGCATAACTATGTAAGTAGGTTTTGTCAGTTACAACAAAAAACAGTGTTGGCTTGTTTGTTCGGGATACCATAGTATTTTGTTGTTGCAAAATGATCAGGCTTAATCCCTTTATTGTTGTTTTTACATAAACAACGTTTGTTTATTAGTGGAGAACGATGGTAATGTTTACATTGTTGTTGTAACAGACAAAACTAACTTACATAGTTGGGACACCTCCGTTATTATTTGAGAGATGTACCGCCCGAGTCAAACTCCCTACCTGGCAATGTCCTTGAATTGGATCATACCTGAGTCATGGGAGTCATACCAAATTTCAAATATTGACAATAACACCGAAATGCCATCATCTCATCGAAATTTGTTTACAATTATATAACAAACTCTTAGTACTTTGATCAAGAAGCTTGCATCAAAACCCAATACCATAAGACGTTCATGTAAAATGAAAGCATAACATGTGGAAAAAGATGAAAATGTTTATAAGTGCGTTTGTAAGATTTAGAATATTTTCCAAAAGAATTTTAATTGTATGTAATTCTTTGGTTCCTCTTCTATAACTTATCCTCATTTTAAAAATAAAAATTGGGATAAAATTTTAAATCTCTAACCAAATTACTCCTTTTCTTTGGACAACTTCTCTTTTTTGTAACACAGCAAAATTTCATAAAGCTTAACGCTAAACAACTAAAAATTAAGCAATGTCGAAAAATTATTGCATTTAACGTAAAAGACAGAAGGAGAACCTATATAGATTATCTCGCAGGTCCCGCTATTTAATGATGAATTTACATTAGCAAGGAAAAATCTCACGGATCGTTACGAGAATAAAATACTGCAAATTAATGATGTCACACTATTCAAAAACTACCACGCACTATAAATAGCTGCATTTAGATACTGGGGTAGCATAGTGTCGATGTTATAGGATGGGATGCGATATAATAAACATTTGTTCAACGAAATTATCCAGAGCCTTTGTAGAAGAATTCGAGAACTCATTAAGCGATTGTAAACAAATTCAAAAATGGGAACAATTTGACGCTTTCTTAACAAGCAAATTTGAAACATTAGAGTCAGTTGGTAATATAAAATCCTCTATATCAAAATTTGCTCAACAAAAACCAACTAACAATCACACACCTAGATTTTTGAACAAAATGCAAAAAATGTTTCAAAAATACAAACAATTTTGGAGGAAGACCTACTATTATAACTTTACCTCAACAAAAAAATCATATATGTCAATTCTGCAAATCAAATCACTTCATCAGAGGTTGCAGCGAATTTTTGAAACAGAGTGTGAACGACTGAATTAACATCGAAAAAACATCACACTTATGCTACAATTGCTTGTCATACCGTGAAGCATCCTACAAAGGAAACAAATGTCACTTCTTCCCTAGATAAAGTACTTAAACGTTTCTGGGAGGTGGAAGAGACCCCTATAAATGTTTTAGGGTCAGAAGAAGATCAATTTTGTGAACAAAACTACATTGAAGCAGCAATAAGTAACAAGGATGGAAGAAATGTGGTGACTCTCCATTCAAAAAATGGGAGGAATTGGGAAATTCCCGAAACATTGCCTTAGCTCAATTCTACAAAATGGAGAAACCACTTATGAAAACACCCGATATACCCCCAATACTTGAATAATTAAAACTTGGTCATATGAGGAAAATCAATCCGAATGAAAAAGTGCCAAATTATTATCTACCACATCACGCTGTGATTAAACAAAACAAGTCTCAATGACATATTGTTTCCAGGACCCATTTCACAACAAGATTTGGTACTACAAGTTTTAAAGTGGAGATTCTTCAAATATGACTTCAATACAGATATAAAAAAGATGTATCTCCAAATACTTTTTGATTAAAATCAAACAAAATATCAAAGAATTCTCTTTAGACAGTCTCCTGAAAACCCAGTAGAGGATTATAAGCTGTTAACAGTTACATATGAAGTTAATTGCACACCATATTTAGCATTGAGAACTCTTTTTAAACTATCAGAAAATGTAAAAGATTCGTATCTTAGAGCCGCAAACATAATTTGGAATAATTTATGTATTGATGATGTATTAGCTGGCGGCCACACTAAAAATGAATCAATCAAACCCCGAAAGGAATTAACTGCCGCTTCAGACTCTGCTGGTTTTACACTCATAAAATGGGCATCAAATGATGATCAGGCGATTACTTTTCCTTCACACCGCCTTCTATGGCGACTAACATGTATATTCAAAGCGAGAAGTTTTATCAACAATAGCCAAATTGTTTGACCCATGTGTATGACTGGCACCTGTGGTCGTCGTAGCTAAGCTAAAAGTGCAACAAATCTGGCTAGACAAAATTGACTAGGATGATCAATTGAAACCATTAACTCAGATGAACTGGAATAATTTTGTTAAAAACAGAAAGAAATTGTATATCTCATAGTTTCTGGATGGATTGATTCAACACGCATGATGGTTCTGTAGAGATTCATGGATTTTGTGAAAAAAAACTTAGCCTCGCCTTTGTTTTTTTTTTCAGATGTGGCCGCCTACTTGCCAAATCAAGACTGCTGTTTAGAAGATCGCAGCCGTATCCCGAACTCACCTGTCCGTTCAAAAGCAAAAGCAAAAATAGACCCATCGTTCCATTTCCACATCCCCGAAGGGCGGCAGAGAAGTCGATCCGACGACTATGCCAAGAAGACCATGCCCTCAGTGACTGTGAGAGGTTCTACAGGCAGACGCCCTTCCAGCATGTGACACAGTGGAGCAAATTGGACATCAATTAGTTAGAATTTTAAACGCGATCGCAAGTTTCAAGTTGAATTATATATTAAAACTTAAACTCTAGTGAAATAATACTGAAGTGCCTACTTACCTAAATAAAACTTATGAACTATTGAATTAAAATTTGAGAACTAGTAAATAACAAACTTAAAGATTTTTATTCAGTAGCTCTAGAGTCTGAAATTATTGGTGTACTTACCGATACACATAATAGCAAAATAAGCCCACTTTTACTGTATCCTCATCAATTTAGAAAGAATAAACTAACGTTTTCAAGGCTAATCTTCCAATTTCGCATGTTTTGCCAGCGGACGATGAGAACTTGATTGAGCTCTATAAACTTATGAGCGTCAAGGTTGCAGTGACAAAACATGAAGTCATCTTCGAGGTCAAGATACCCTCAGTCAATCAACAGTTCTTTGAACTGTCCAAACTCCGAAGGAACGCAGTCTCTAACCCCAGTGGAGTCAATATATTTAATAATCAACCAATTGCAACCTCAACAGGATTATTGGATCTACAGTTTGGACCCAATTGCATCATCAAAATATATGGATTTTCGCTACTACTGTCGATGTTGAATCTTCTATTGTATGCGGTACGGAGACAAATCTTATCATCATCAAAAATGCCGGAATAATGAAGATGGGTTCCAACTGTGCCATGAAGAACGATTTTGTCATCATAGATTAAAAGACATCCATTCTATAAGTCCACTACAGGGAATAGAAAAGTTGAATGAATCAACTCTTAAGCATTTGCCACAATTTATCCACTCCACCAGTCTTCACCATCATGCAGTTAGCTACACCTCATTATGTTGCTGCATTATTGTTGTGCTTGGTCTGCTGAGTTGGAGAATGCATTCAAGGTAAACAACCCAGCTCAATGTACACCTACTCCAGCTGTAAGAACTCACAAATCAGCGACAAATGGCTTCGTTTCTGCTACATTTACTACTTGAACGCTGTCAACGCGGCGGAGAATGTTAAAACATACGTATTTACATATATATTCAACATACATATTTATATGTAAGTTGTGATATATTTACAGTTTTTTTTTCTAGTTTTTCAAGTAGTTAATTCAGCATTTTTATGTACCTCATTTATTAACGTAACAGTAAATCATTTTATCCTTATATCTTATTTAGGTTCATTTCTTCACTTTTGTATGAATAATATTTGACCTAGTTTTACTTTATGCAATTCATCAATTATGCTAAGAACTTATTTGTATACAATAATGAACATAATAAAAAGAGTTTTTGTCAGTTGTCTTCCATGAAGCGACCAGAAACAATTTGTGTTTAATTTCTAAAAACGTCTTTCCTTCAAGTTTATGTGCTTGCAAGGAGATTTTAAAGGACTATAAGTGTCAGTTCAAATTTAAGTGTTTGAACTGAATTCCACTAGATCTGAGTTTTCTTAACTGGTCTAAAACCGCAAAAAATGAGGAACTAGTCTTCGATGTCCGTTAAACTTAGTCGTAGAATTATTTAAAAGCGCAATTAGCTTTAATAATTTTCACACTTATTATGTAAGTGAATCGTACTATCTACAACCTAAAATGTAAGCAAATTGTCTCAAATGTAGTTATTGTTTGCAGGAAAATAGACGAACAATTCAAAATGATCAGGAGAATTGCACAATGTCACCATGTTAAGAAGACAATGATAAGTGAATAATCATTGATTACTTACAATCAATTCGAATTGTCATTGTTTCCAAAAAAAAAACGCCATTTTATACAATTTCGAAAGCTAATCAGTAAAGAATATTTAAAATTTAATGTGATTCCCAAGCATTTGCCATTTTGTTTTTGATTATTTTCCCCTCAAATTATTCACTGTTCTCAAAGAGTTATTGTATTCAACACAAGCAGCAATAATGAGCAAAGCTGTAATTTGATTGTACGGTACAAATAAATGATTTGGATAGTTGTCGTTAAGATTTCACTTTTCCTGCTAACCCTCTAGTGTAGCTCGATCCACTTCTCTTCAATATGAAACAAATTATTTTTTTCTGAAGGCACTGTTGTATTCTTCGGCATTACTCAATTATGTACGATGTCTTCCCTAATTTCCCTGCGCGTGCGAATTGTGTATTTTTAATTTATTTAATATTTCACAAATGTAGAACTATTGTTTCATCAATGGTTTTCTGTTGTTCGCACGGCAATGCTTCTCCACTTTTGGATGGTGTAGAGATAAAAGCTTACAACTATCCAAGCTAACAATAACACATTATTTGACGTAAAGCTTCTGCCCACACTATTTGACGTAGAGCTCGGCAGAACAATTTGTCTTTTGGTATACCTGCCATAACACGGTTCCTCCCAATATTCCAATATTCGCACTTTTAGCGATACCCACCGATTTCGGTATTTTAATATAATCCTAGTCATTTTGGAAGATGACAATCCTTGAAGAATAAAACTGTCTATAGCATTTCCCGTTTTGGTATAGCCCCCATATAACGGCCTCACCCACTTTATGGTTTCTTGAAAAGTTTAATAGCATCATCCAAACGGTCTTACCGGTATCTGTAGTTTTAAGTGGAACACGTTTGAATTCAGATATTTTTATATAAAAAAGTTTTCTATACCCAATGGTGGCGGGTATTAAAAATTCATCTTTTATTCAGTTTACTTTTTCGGTAAACGTACACTCTTTATTTTCTATGCCCGATTTATATTATTCGGGCCATCTTTTACTATATATTAAAATGTACTTTTATCGTATACTAGCTGGCCCAGACCGCGTTGCCGGTCTGTAGTTTTAGTCTTTTACGCATAGTTTTTAAAGCCTAATAATTCACAGATCTGGGTCACATAAGTGGCACAATTTTTAGTATAAATGATGACTCAACTAAAGAGAAATAAATATGCATTTCAAAAATGTCAATATAGGTTCACGTACCGGGCGATTTATAGTGTTTCAAAAAACCTGATCCTATTTTCCAGGCAGAGGTTTTAGTTTGACAGTTGGAACCCCAAATATAGCACATATATTAAACTGTATACACCAATTGTTTATAATAGTCCCATGTAAGATCGTTCTCTACCCCCAAAGTAGCCTAAACACACATTTTAAGCCAAATCGATTCGAAAATATAATCAAAACCCTCGAAATAGATAAAATCAGGGGGTACGTTTATATAGGTAGCGCCCAAAACATTGACATTGAAAATTTTCCGCGAAGAGGTGACATAGAATGTGACCAAGACCCTGGAAATAGATGAAATTAGTGGATGCCTTCATATAAGGGTTATACCAAAGCTTGGTCCAATACTTATAATTATTTGAAAGAATGTTTTGTCCTTTCTAAAATCTGAAATTACCAACATTTAAGGAATTAAAAAGGGGCTACATCACAATGCAGACCAACCTGAAACATATTTTGTACAAATGATACTTTATGTAACCCATAGGAATGCATTAACATTTGCGGAGTATAGAGAAAAATATTTGAGGCCCTTTGCGTATGTTTAAGCTATACAAAATGGACCCTAAAAAGTTTAACCCGGGATTTAAATCCTCGCTTATATACGAGGTTAAAAATATATTTTTTAAAAAATATTTTTTTTAAATCAACTCCTTATGTATAAGGTAAAAAATATTTTTTCAAAAATCCATGCTTTATATATGAGGTTAACTATATATATTTTTTTTAAATCACGCCTTATATATTATGTTAAATATATTTTTTTAAAAAAACCCACGCTTTATATATAATGTTAATTTAAAAAAAAAATCACTCTTTTTGTATGAGGTTAAATATATTCTAAAAAAATATTTTTTAAAAAATCCATTTTATATAAGATATTGAATTTTCTTTTTAAATCCACGCCTTCTATATGTGCTTAAAAATATTGTTTTAAAAATCCCCGCTTTGTGTATAAGGTTAAAAAAATATTTTTTAAATCCGGTTAAAAAAAATAGCAAGATCGACTGAGCTCGGCGAGATAGATAGGTAGCTATTTCGAGGTATTATATACTTTTTGGGCAATTCAAATGTATAATACTAACAACACATTGTATTGTAGGGTATAATTGCAAAAATTGTTTGTTGGGTAGCACAAAAAAGTCAAAATTTAACTCAAATTATTTTCACTTCAAAAATTCATCATAACCCCCTTTTTGAAGATATTGGATGGTCAGTGCAAAAAGTAAGACTACATTCAGGCACTTACCACAATGATAGGCATTCTAATAACAACAATACATACGTTTGTCTACATACATATACATATATGATGACATGAAATCTGTCATATGTGAAACTCATTGTTATGTATGTGATCTTCAGTTTTTCTATATTTTCTTCAATGCAATGGAGTTAGAATAACAAAAACAAAAAAACAACATCCACATAGACAAATGAAAATATAGACAACGAAAAGTTAGTTTTGTCTTTTTATCCAGGTGGCTCTTATCATGTTGTGCGTAGTCAACATGCTGATTTACGCGTTCAAGCCACTCGACTTCGAAAACACATTTTATCGTTTTTCAAGAATTTCACTGGAATATTCCTATATTTTTCGATGTCATCACGTACTTTTCACATTTCTTTTATTATGAAATAATTTTCAACTGACAAATATCCTACAGTTTTTGTTATTTTTAACGTTTTAGAAATGAGTGACTTCAATATTCCCACTCAAACCCCTGAAACGATATGAACGACATCTGCTGATTCGATTTTTTTCGAAGATAAACGGTGAGAGCATTTCGTTGTCTATATTTTCATTTGTCTATGACATCCATTGACTCCATAAAATATGAGAGTGTGATTGTTCTTTGTGTGTGTACACGCCACCCGTATTGTATGCTTTAGACTTTATAAATCTAAGAGTATAAGCTTAGGAGCTAGAGAGGTTCGCAAGAATTTTCCAATGATATGAATACTTTTCTTACCAAATTTTCAATTCGCACCACATATTCGGTAGTTCACTAATTGCAGTCCATATCTAGTCAATTTTTTGAAGTTTCTGACCTCAGGATCGAAAGCAATTTCTAAATAGAAATCCTGGAAATATGACTTTAATTTAACTATCAAAAATAAGGCGTCATTGGTTTATAGAAGTTAGGGTCCCCATAAATTGTGTTAAAAAGTAGAAATCGTTGTCAATTAAATTATGGCATGTTTTTGTTACAATTTCTACAGAATGGACTGTAAATTGACATTTAATGTTTTAAGTATTGTGAAATCAATACCGGCAATAACTATTTAAAAGCACGTTGAGCTTTTAAATGTTTTGATGCTTCGAGAAAAAATTTTTAATCAAAATTGAACATATAACGGCATGTACACAAAATATGCAAAATTTCTCGGTGTTTTTCAATAAGAATTTATATTCCAAAAGGCATTCTGAAACAATTCTATACAAAATTTCATATCCAAATGGAACAGTTAATTTCAGTTCTGCAATTTTTCTAGAGACATTTCTCAAAATTTTCTTTCTTTAAAAAGTATCCAGTGTAAAATATGAGTTAAATCAGCCCAGTCATCATCAACTGAAGTTTTACTATGCTTTTTTAAATTTTTTACACATAGATCCAAAAAAAGTGGGTGTGGCTTGGAGGGAGAGTCAAGATTACGATGTATATAACTGCTTACAATTTAATTTACTATTGTTCCCCATTATGAATAGCCCCAATTTAAAAGTACGTTGAGATTTTAAATATTTTGATGCTTTGAGAAGTACTTTTCAATCAAAATTGTATAGAATATATGCAAAATTTCTCGATTTTTTTCAGGAAGAATTTTCAATTTAAAAAGGCATTCTGAAACAATTCTATATACAATTTCTTATCAAAATAGAAAATTCAAGTTTTTTATTTTCGAGCTTTTCTAGAGGCTTTTCTCAAAAATTTCATTCATGAAAACGTTTTCACTATAATTACAAATAACCAAAAGATATTTGAGTCAATTCGGCCAGGCAGTTCTCAGCTGATGTGTTGCTATATTTTTTAAATTGTATACATATAAATTTAAAGAAGCATGTGTGGCCAGTTCCTCTGACCCCAAACAGATACCTAGGGTTGGAGGGAGAGTCAAGAGTACGTCATATACTAACTATGGAACAAATGTCTTCATTATTTTGGCAAATATTAGGATTTTAGGTAAATCGAAAAAATAAGCGTAAAAGTGGCGTTGTCACTTTTACTTGCATTGAAACCAAACTCGGGGTAGGACGACAACTTAAAAAAATATTTAATTTCGTCCAGCCTTTCTTAGCTGAATCGATTACCAACGAACAACAATTGGTTTATCAATACTAAATAAATACTTAGGGTTGGATGGAAATTCAACAATATCTCCTGTAATAATTATCAAACCGATATCCTCATTATCTGGCAAATATAAAGATTTTAGATAAATCAAAATAGTGGGCGTAAAAGTAGGAGTGGTCAATTTTTTTTCTTTAAAAACCTAACTCGGGGTACGACGAACGTTTGTACAAAAAATTATGCAAATCGGTCCAGCCGTTCTCAACTGATTCCATATAGATTTTCCATTCCCCATTAGGCATAGACTCAATTTAAAAGTACGTTGAGATTTGTAATGTTTTGCTAAATATATTTTGAAACAATTCTACACAATACTCCATATCAAAATTTTCTTTCACGAAAACATTTCCACTGTAA